CCCTTCTGGTAATTGTGTTATTTTTCACTGTCTGGGGGGGCGGTTATTTTATCGTACAGTCGCCTGGGGCGGGCAGGAGCCAAACCTCCTCCTCCGGGCTTGTTTCGGGCCCAGGGCTCCCTCTTGTTGCAGGAATCACAGATGATTATATGTAGCAGAGATTTTACAACAAGCTATTTTCCCTTTTTCAAAGCTCTGTCTCGTTTCTGCCTCCCCTCTACCCCGGCTGTGCTCACACCACCGGGGCCCTGAATCCTCGGCCGTGGCCTCGCAGCGATGCTGGGGCTGAACCCTCCCTCCTTCCCCCCTCTTCATTAGTTGCACGTGGGGGCTGGAGTGCGTTACCCCTCCCTCACGCTCTCACCCAGCCCTGCACTTGGCGAGGGGGAGCAGCCCAGCGCTCCCAGTTCAGCCTCTCCTCCAGACCCCCCCCAGCCAAGGAGCGGGGCCCCGGGCCGGTGGCCTCGCCCCTGGGTCACGCGCGGCCGAGTCAGGGCCCCGTGGGCGATGAGTCCGCGGCGGAGCCCCGGCCTGACTCAGCCACCCCCTTTCCTGGGGGGGGGGGGGGAGCTCGCCCCAGGGGTGCAGGTCCCTCACCCCAGGGACCCCACCGGGGTGGGGTGACGTGGGCTTATTTTGGAGGTGGCTCCAGCCTGGATCCGTGCCTCGGTGCTGCTGCTGTCCCCTTAACTCTGCCCCTTGCTCCCTGGGACGCTCCGTCCTCTTACCCACGGCTGGATGATGATGATGATGATGATGTCCCCAGCGCTTGGGACAGGGGACTAATGCCCCTGGGACCTTCCCGGGCAGTGAACAAGGTTTTCTGACTCGTGACGAGGTGCCAGTCACCACAGAAAGCACCGTCTGGCCCCGCTGCCCCGCGGTGCTGCTGCCTGGGGTCAGGGACGGGCCGGGGGGCCCCCAACCTCTACCTCTGCCCCCCAAAACTGGGCACGGGGGGTGGCCGAATCCTGCACTGCACAGCAGGCTGGGGTTGGGGACACTGGGGTGGTCCTGTCCTCAGCTCCAGCTGTCACACCACGACCCTGAGTTGCTGGGGAGGGTCTAATCCTGCCAGGTCGTGCCTCTCCCGAGGGAAGGGGGTGCTCAGCCCTTGCCGGGAGGGCTGGGGTGGGGGGTGTCTCCTGGGACACAAACAGCCCCTTTGCCGTAGGGTGGGAGGGTGGCTCTGGGACAAGGGAGGTGGCCCCAGAGTGGGGGGCAGGAGGGGGTCCCTGGGGTAGGGGGATGTCCCCAGTGTGGGGTGCGGGGGCAGGAGGGGGTTCCCCAGGGTGGAGCGGGGGGGTGGAAGGGCGTCCTCAGGGGCAGGACGAGGTCCCCAGGGTGTCCCCGGGGACAGGAGGGGGGTCCCCAGGGCAGCACCCAGAGCCCCTGGGCCAGGGCTGACTCAGCTCTGCCCCCCAGCACCACGTGAAGGCGGGGGGGGGGGCTGCTGCTGTGTCCCGTCCCCCCCCTCCCCGCCGCCTCCTTCCCTCCCCTACGAACCCCCCGCAGACCCGGGCGCCCGCCAACATTTTCCAGCCGCCTCTCGACTTCCTCAATCCAGCGCTATAAAAGAGCCGCGGCCGCGGCCTCCGCACCCCCAGGCCGCCCCATCCTCCTGCCGACAGCACGATGCTGGGGTAAGCGGGGCGGGGGGGGGTCCCGCGGGGGGACGGGGCACCCGGTGAGGTGTCGCGGACGGGGCGGTCGAGTGGTTTTTTAGCCCTGGGGAAATAGACCCCAGTGGGAATGTGTGTGCAGGGGGGTGGGGGTGGTGGGGAACTAGGGCCCTGCGCGTCAGCTTGGTGTTAGAGGTGCGAAGGGGGAAACTGAGGCACGGAGCATCGAGCGGGGCTGTGGGCTGCAGGCTGGGGCTGGCGGCCCCATTCCTGCTCTGCCCCAGGGGTCTGGTGAGGAAGCGGATGCTGGGGGCGAGGGGTAAAGCGAGGGAGGGGGCAGGATGCGTGGGTGCTCCCCCCCCCCACCTGCACCCCTTGCTCTGTGCGCCCCCAAAACTCAGTTTCCCCCCTGGCCGGAGGCTGCCGGAAGGCGCCGGTGGGGCCGTGATGGGAACCAGCTGTCCCAGCTCATGTGATGCCTGCGCCCGGCCAGCGCTGCGGGCGGGGGGGTCCCGGCCCCGAAATGGGGCGAACGGGGGGGGGGTCCTGGCCTGAAACCGGGGTGGGCAGGGGCTGCTGGTTGCCGTGGCCTGGAAATGGGGTGGGTATGGGGTTCCGGTCTCCCCCAGCCCCTCGTGGCTCAATAACGGGGTGCGTGGGGTCTGGGAACGGGATGGACGGGGGGTCCTGGCCCCTATAGCTGGAGGCGGTCGTGGGCACAGGGTCCTGCCCCCCTCCAGCCCTCCCAGGCTCAGTCCCTGTCCCGGGTCCCCAGGATGTGGTGGCCCACGGTGCTGGCCCTGCTGGTCCCCGCGGTGGTGGCCCAGTTGCGCCCCGAGCGGGAGCTGGACGCCCAGTGGGAGCTGTGGAAGAAAACCCATCGCAAGCAGTACAACGGGGAGGTACGGCAGAGCCCCCCGGGAGGGGACCGGCCCCTGGGGGGGAGCTGGGGACCAGCCCGGTGGTGTCCCCAGGGCAAGGGGGGGTGGGGACGGGACGCAGGACCCCTTCACCCAGCACCGTCTCGCCCCGTGGTGCAGGCGGACGAGGTGGCGCGGAGGGTGATTTGGGAGAAGAACCTCAAGTACATCAACACCCACAACCTGGAGCACGCGCTGGGCGTCCACACCTTCGAGCTGGCCATGAACCACCTGGGTGACATGGTGAGTGTCACCGGGGAGGGACACGAGCGGGGTGCCAGAGAGACTCAGCACCCTTGGGTGCTCTGCCCAGCAGCCCCAGGGCTGCACCCGTCCACCCCGCGCTCCTTCCCCAGACCAGCGAGGAGGTGGTGAGGATGATGACGGGCTTGAAGGTGCCCCGTGGCCGCCCGCGTCGCAACGAGACGCTCTACGTCCCCGACTGGTCTGAGCGAGCCCCGGCTGCCGTGGACTGGAGGAGGAAAGGCTACGTGACCCCCGTCAAGAACCAGGTAAGCGGGGTGCTCCCGGGGGGTGCCCGGCGCGGGCTGGCACCCCGCCGTCACCCCTCCTTGTCCCCACAGGGCCAGTGTGGCTCATGCTGGGCTTTCAGCTCGGTGGGCGCGCTGGAGGGGCAGCTGAAGCGGAAGACGGGGAAGCTGCTCGCCCTCAGCCCCCAAAACCTGGTGGATTGCGTGGCCAACAACGACGGCTGCGGCGGCGGCTACATGACCAACGCCTTCGAGTACGTCCGGCAGAACCGCGGCATCGACTCCGAGGATGCCTACCCCTACATCGGCCAGGTCCGGGGCTGGGCAGGGGGGTGAGGCCTCCGTTTGCTCTCCCGTCCCCGTCTCACCTTGACCTTGCCGGTCCCGCGCAGGATGAGAGCTGCATGTACAGCCCCACCGGGAAGGCGGCCAAGTGCCGCGGCTACCGGGAAATCCCCGAAGGGAACGAGAAGGCTTTGAAGAGGGCCGTGGCCAGGATCGGCCCCGTCTCCGTGGGCATTGACGCCAGCCTGCCCTCCTTCCAGTTCTACAGCCGGGGTGAGGGGCTGGGGGAACCCCCGCTGGCCCCGGGGCAGCTCGGGGAAACTGAGGCACGGCCGGGTGGTTTATCCAAGGCGTAACCCTCCGTCCCGTCCCCCAGGCGTGTACTACGACGAGAGCTGCAACGCCGAAAACATCAACCACGCGGTGCTGGCGGTGGGCTACGGCACGCAGAAGGGCACCAAGCACTGGATCATCAAGAACAGGTACGGCGGGCCGGCGCGGCCGCTCTCCGCCAGGTCGGCGTTCGCCGGCGGCTCTGCCGGTGGCTCAGGCTTGGCCTTTTCTCCCCCGCAGCTGGGGCGAGGAGTGGGGCAACAAGGGCTACGTCCTCCTGGCGCGCAACATGAACAACGCCTGCGGCATCGCCAACCTCGCCAGCTTCCCCAAGATGTGAGCGCTCCTGGCACGCTCCCGCGCCGCGCCCGGCCGCTCTCCCTGCTTCCCTCCCTTCAAGCTTTCCGCTCCCAATCTCCGAAGCTGACGTTGCCCGTGAGAAATCTCCCCCGGGAGGCGGGGAGAGAGACCCTCCGGCTGCAGATGAACGGTGCGATGAGCGATGAGCTCCCCCCCAACCGTTTTCCCGGGATTCCTTTGCCGTGCCGGCACCGCGTGTGCCGGGTTCTGCCCTCCCGCGGCTCCGCGGGGTCTGTTCTGTCCGGAGTTGCTTGTGCAAACCAGTCCCACACCAGCCTCTGCCCCCGGGAGCGCGGATGCACCGGGACATCCCGCACAGGTGGAACGTCCCCATGGGGAGCGCGGGTCTGTCTCCCCCCACCCTGCGTCCCAGTGGGGGCTGCAGAGGATGATACGACTTCATTTTTAAAATAAACCCCGTTGGGAATAAACGCTCGGGCTGGTTCGCTCTGTGCTGCGCTGGCCCCGCGGGGGGAAAGTCCTTCCCTTTGCCGAGGGGGCAGGAGCCAACGGCAAAACAGGCGATGCTGGAGCGAAGCGGGGAGGAAAGATGCTGCTGGGGTCTTTTTGCAAAATCCCAGCTGGTTTTGCAGGACCCCTGAAACAGGCTGAAGAAATACGGGGGGTTTAAAGAGGAAGAAAGCGGAGCAACAAATGAGCAGCTGGTGCGGGCTGCTACAGCTCTGGGGCGAAGGGTGGTGCTGGGGTTGGGGGTGTTTTGCAGCCAAAACCCCGTGTCTCCCCAAAACCCCCAATCCAAGTGTCCCTTTTAATGAAACAAATTGAAAACTAACTGCAGCAAAGCTCAGGGCGAGCACTAACAGGAAGGGAAGGTGATATCTGCTTTAAAAATTAATGCGAGAAAAGTTTAGATGCTTAAAAAGAAGTTTCTTTTTCCCACTCACACCCACGCACTGAGACGTGGGTGGCAAACGGCCTGGGGGGCGAGGGAGGGGATGAGGGCCGCTGGATAATTCATCAGGGCCTGCCAGGATGCACCACTGGGGTTGTTCAAAAACAACGCGGTGAAAAGAAAGTGAAATCGGAGAATTTCCTCATTCGCCGGCTCCCGGCTGCGGCGAGCGGAGGGAACTCCTCGCGCCCCCGCGCCGTCCCGGGCCTCCGTGGGAAGCTGCACCGTGGCCGGGCGGGCAGGTGAGACATCTCCCTGGGGTGAGTTTTGGCTGGAGAACGTGGAGAAACGGTCCCTTTGCGCTCGCTTTGGGGACAGAGTCCATCTCTGCCCCCTTGCTGTGTCCCCCTCGGTGTGTCCCCCTCGACTGCTGCTTTTCCTCAAGAGCAGCCGCAGCGATGGAGACGGAAAGTTGGGAGGAAATACGTGGAGATGGGTGAAGTTTCCGTCAAAGAGGGTTTTTTTTTTGGGGGGGGGTGGCACTGCAGGTGTGTGTGTGTGGGAAGGGTCCGGCCCCGTGTGAAGGTTGCGCTGGGGCCGTGGAGCATCGTTGTGCGGCCAGAGAGAGCTCCCGGCCAAGGAAAAAGGCTCAAAGGGGATTGGGGGGGGGGGGTTTGGGAATGGTGGGGAAGCAAAACGCCCAGGTTGGGGTCCGGCACTGCCTCCCCAGCCCCAGCTGAGCGGGATGAAGCTGCTGGCTTCCATCGCCTTGCTGGCCACGCTGGCGGGGGCCCTGGGACCCCCCGACCCCGCGCTGGACTGGCACTGGCAGCTCTGGAAGAAAACCTACGGCAAGGAGTACCGCCACGAGGTGGGGGGGTCCCGGGGGGGGGCGGCGGGAGGTGGTGGGTGCTGCTCGGGGGAGAAGGTCCGACAGCGCCCCGGAGCGCTGCTGGTCCCCAGGGAGGGGTTGTCGGGGGGCTCCCCGCAAGCTTTGCGGGGGCAGAGGGGGGTGGGACGGCCGCGGGGGCTGCTGTTCCGCCCCACGAGCCCGCGTTCGATTTCAGCAGGAGGAAGGGGCCCGGCGCGCGACGTGGGAGAGGAACCTGCGACTGGTGACGCTGCACAACCTGGAGCACTCGCTGGGGCTGCACTCCTACGAGCTGGGCATGAACCACCTGGGAGACATGGTGGGTGCCGGCCACGCCGCCGAGCAGGGGGGTCCCTTCGTCGCTAATTCCCTGCCAGGTTAACGTGCCGAGGCACAGGGAGTGGGTCAGGGCTGGGAAAGCTCCCAACCGCCCTTCTCAGCCCGTCCTCTCCTGCCGGACTCCAGCAGCCGGGGACGAAGCGCTCAGACGCTCCTGTGCTCAACCCGCTGGCGTGAGGCAATCTGGCGCGAGGAAATAACTCCTTAGCGCGGCCTTTGGGGTGCGCAGAGCTGGTCCCGGGCATTATACAGATTTGCAAACCCTCCCTCTCCCGGGCCCCAAGGTTGCAGAGTCGCTCGATCAGCTGTGTCAGCTTCTAGGGATTTGGGGGGGCTGGAGTTCTGCTTTGTGTTTTCTTTTCCTCGCCCTTCCCGATGAACGGCTGGAGAGTGACCGTGACAATTAAGAAGCCGAGACCTCCACAGGCCTTCCTCCTGCTGTCCCAGGGAAATCCCCTTCCACTTCCAGTACACCCGGTGTCGGACTCACCAGAGACCGGGCCACCCCGAGCAGGGCTTTGCTTTTCCCACCAGAGCAGCGAAGAAGTGGCGGCTTTGCTGACTGGGCTGAACGTTGTCCCTCGGCCAAAGCGGAGCTCCGCGTCCCGACCGCCGCCTGGCAGCGACGTCCCGGACACGATGGACTGGAGGGAGAGGGGCTGCGTCACCGACGTGAAGAACCAGGTTTGGAGCTCTCCCTGGGCCTCTCCGTGCCTCGGTCCCGCGCTGGGTCTGAGCAGCTCCGGGGCTTTTGCAGGGTGCTTGTGGGTCGTGCTGGGCGTTCAGCGCCGTGGGAGCCCTCGAGGCCCAGGTGAAGCTGAAGACGGGGAAGTTGGTGTCCCTGAGCACCCAGAACCTCGTCGACTGCTCCATGATGTACGGGAACAAAGGCTGCAGTGGAGGGTTCATGACCAGTGCTTTCCAGTACATCATCGACAACGAAGGGATCGACTCGGATGATTCCTACCCCTACACGGCTCAGGTAGGCAGCAGAGCCGGGCAGTGCTTAGGCTGGCTCCGCTCAAATCGGCGGCGTTAATCGTCCTGTCGCTCCCGGAGGAAATCCGCTTTGGCAAGCCACGCGGTTGCCCGTCTTCGGCGCCGCGAGCGTCAGTTCTGCGCCGAGCAGGGCGCCCTGACAGGTTTCCTTCCCCCCCCTTCCCCTCGCTGGCCGGGATGGCTCGTGCCGCTGCAGCCCGGCGGCGCGGGCGGCCACGTGTTCCGGCTGCGTTGAGCTGCCGCACGGCGATGAGGCCGCGCTGCAGGGCGCCGGCGCCGACGTGGGGCCCGTCTCTGCCAGCGTCGACGCCCGCCAGCCCACCTCCTTCTTGTACAAAGCCGGTGGGGCTTCCAGGGGGTCACGAGAGAGGCCCGTGCTTGCCTTCCCGCCACCCGGCTTCCTTAAACAGGAATTGTTTCGGCTTTGACTCGTATTTGGCTTGTGCTGCCCTTATTCCCGGCAGCGGGCGCCGGTGACACCTCCCAAAGAGCGAATTTAGTTCCCGTTTGGGCGGTGGCTTAGGGCGGGTTGTCCAAAGGCTCTTTCCAAATGCCTTCCAGGTATCTCCTATGACCCGAGCTGCTCTCAGGTGGCGAATCACGCCGTGCTCGTCATCGGCTACGGCTCTTCCGACGGGCAGGACTTCTGGCTCGTGAAAAACAGGTACAGCAAACCCAGAGGCTGAGCAGCTTTCCCTTTCCGAGGGGCACAAAGAGACGCCAGCGATGCGCTTTTGCAGAGCCCGTCAGCTTTCTGGAGTTACGTTCTTGGCCCGGCTCCACCGCAGCCGTGGTGCAACGGGCCCTCGACTAAGCCCTGCAAACCCCAACCGCCGTACGTCACCCGAAACGCTCCTGCCTGGCTCCTCGGTGCTGGCTCAGAACACGGGATTTCTGCTCCGCGGGAAACTCCGAGGTTTCCAGCCTTCCTGGGTGCTGAGTCAGCGCAAAGGGCTGGTGCTTCTTGGAGAGAGAAACCGAGCTGGTTTGACCTGGGGACGCGCTGGCGAGCCCCCTCCTTCGGCCAGTTTGGAGGCACAGCCTCAAGGGTCCTTGCAGCCGGGCTTCCCCTTGCACTGAAACGCATTTGTGAACATGCTTTTCACTGCCTCAGACGCAGAACAAGAAGAAACGTGGTGTTGAAACGGAACGGTCGTGCTCAGACACGGCTCTGGAAAAAAATCCCTGCAGTGTCAGCGAAGCTGCGTTCAGCAACTGAGAACCATTATCTTTTTTAAAAACAACAACAAAAAAAACTCAACTGTGGGCAGTTCTGTCAACAAAGCTCCTTTATCCTCGTATCAGAGATCAGAGCTGGGCTAAAACCCGCCGGTTTCCTCCTCTGTCTCTCATCTCTGGCCTTGGTAGGATCTTAAAAAAAGAAAAAAAAGTATTTTTAATATTCAAAACCGATTCGTTCACCTTTATCTGCTGTTTCCCTGGTGGTTCTGACTCACTCCAGCACACAGAAAATAAGCGATTTTCCTCTGCCCCCCGGAGTTAGTGGCCGCAAAATCTGGCAGGGAAGCAGTCAGGAGGCTCAGCCTTTTTGGCCAGAAGATGCACATTTGACTATTCCTGCGGCTGCTGCGGAGGAAGCATGCGTTGGAAAAAAAAAAAAAAAAATAAAAAGGGGTGGGGAGAGCAACAAGCGGGAGTGAGGGGTGGTGCAGAAGGAGGCAGCTACCCCCTGTTGTCTAATTTTTGCTTCTTTCTCCTTCCAAAAGCTGGGGTGTGCATTTTGGTGACCGGGGCTACATCCGGATGGCGAGGAACCGTGGAAACCGCTGCGGGATTGCCAGCCACGGAGCCTCCCCCCGGATCTAGAGGGGTTCCCTGCTTTGGGACAGGCTCTGGAGATGCCACCGCGCACCCTGCTGATCCCCAGCGTGCCTGGCTCGGCTCCGACCTCCCCTCCTCGAGCAGCCCGTTTGCAGTTTGAGAGGGAAGCAGCAGAAATGAGGAGCGTCTCATCCAGTGTGACCATCTCGTTCACCCTCCCCCCGGCACTTCTCCACTAATAAGGGATCATCTGTTGGGAATTATTTCAGTTATTTAGGTGGAAGGCGCTCTGTTGTCATTGCTGACTCTTGCAATCTCCGGCAGCTTTTTAGAAAATGACTCAGCCGCGTTTTCAAAGCTCTTGGGACGCCGCTTTGCTTCCTCCTCTTCTCTCAGCAGACGGTTTCTTGCAGCCATTTTCTGTCCCGCGGGGCTTTGCCGGGGCGAGAAACGCACCCTCCTGCCTGGCTGTCCTTCGTGGGGACCCAGAGGATGCCCCGAGAAGAGGCTGGCGGGTGATTTCCAGGCAGCTGGAGGCTTGGCTGTCGGCAATGGGCTGGGTGCTCCACATGCCTCCTGCTGTCCGTGCTTGGCCAGCTCAGCTCCACCCCATGCCCATATTTAAACCTCGTCTTCCGATCTGTGCCTCCCCACCAAAAAGGGAATAAATGTGATTTTTTTTTTTTTTTTTTCCTTTCTTTCTAAGAGCTGGGTTTGGTCTGGTTGGCGCTGTAGTGGTGGGATGGGAGCTCAGGTATACCCAGTTCAAACCAGTAGCAAGGCTCTGTGCTTGACCTCCTCCTGTCTCAGCTCAGCACCAAGTCACAACAATGCAAGAACCCTGTCAGAGGAGCGTGACCCCTGCTCGCGCCCGCTGGGCCCGTAACCCCCATAAAACCACCGTGAGAGCCTTGCCATTAATTTATTGGGCTGCTAGAAAAAGGGCGTTTTCTCACCTGCAATCATATTCTGAGGTTATTGAGGGTCCTGCTTCCAATAACCCCGTGACCAGCACGGCAAGCCCAGTTCCCAGATAAGTGAAAATGAAATCAGAGTATTTCCTCATTTCCTGACTCGTGATTAGTCGGTCGAGCTGCAGCTGCCGTGTGCCAGGGGTCCTGGGTGTCCCGACGCCGGGGACGCGCTGGATTTGTCCCCAGCACCGCCCCCCCCCGCCGGTACCCACCACCCGAAGGGGCCTTTTCAGGTACGTTGGGTACTTGGGTGTTTTAACACGCCTCTGCGAGGACTGGGCTTTGAGGAAGTAAAACTGAAGGAACAATACTTTTATGCAGACTCTGACTCCATCTTATCTCTAATCTCCTCCAAGCCCTCTCTGGGTAGTTGAATTGCACGTAGCAGCCCATCCTAAGGAACTGGTGGACATTGGTTGGATAAAAATGGGATTTTGGGGCGGAGGGGGTGTTTGGTTTGGTTTTGTTTTTGTTTTTTAAGGTGCTGGGAAACACAGGTTTTTCAAAACAGCCGCTTGACCGGGCGATGTGTGAAACCTCCTTCGGGGAGGGTTTCTCGGGCAGGGTGGAGCTGAGACGCGGCGCCTGTCTGGATGTGTCCCTGCGCGTCGGTGTCCGCACGGCCGGCGGGTGGGCGCCAGCAGACTTCCCCCCGCCGAGGGCAGGTCTCTGAGTCCCCGGGTGGGATTTCGCGTCGGGGGTCGGGGGTGCGCAGCGGGCGAGGCCGTGCCGCTTTGCGGGGTGCTCGTCTGGGCGGGCAGGACAGGAGCTGTTGGCATCACCCGGTGTAGAAACCCAGCGGAGGGCATGCCAGGGAGTCCAGGTCAGGGATGTCATCACCGTTGTGCCTCCCTTACCAAACCGGATTTGTCACTAAGGGGTCAAGCACGGCTCCGGCTCTGAGCCCTCTGCTCCCAGCGCGCGCCGCGTCGCTCCGACTCGCCGGCCCCAGCTGAGCGGGATGAAGCTGCTGGCTTCCATCGCCTTGCTGGCCACGCTGGCGGGGGCCCTGGGACCCCCCGACCCCGCGCTGGACTGGCACTGGCAGCTCTGGAAGAAAACCTACGGCAAGGAGTACCGCCACGAGGTGGGGGGGTCCCGGGGGGGGGCGGCGGGAGGTGGTGGGTGCTGCTCGGGGGAGAAGGTCCGGCAGCGCCCCGGAGCGCTGCTGGTCCCCAGGGAGGGGTTGTCGGGGGGCTCCCCGCAAGCTTTGCGGGGGCAGAGGGGGGTGGGACGCCCGCGGGGGCTGCTGTTCCGCCCCACGAGCCCGCGTTCGATTTCAGCAGGAGGAAGGGGCCCGGCGCGCGACGTGGGAGAGGAACCTGCGACTGGTGACGCTGCACAACCTGGAGCACTCGCTGGGGCTGCACTCCTACGAGCTGGGCATGAACCACCTGGGAGACATGGTGGGTGCCGGCCACGCCGCCGAGCAGGGGGGTCCCTTCATCGCTAATTCCCTGCCAGGTTAACGTGCCGAGGCACAGGGAGTGGGTCAGGGCTGGGAAAGCTCCCAACCGCCCTTCTCAGCCCGTCCTCTCCTGCCGGACTCCAGCAGCCGGGGACGAAGCGCTCAGACGCTCCTGTGCTCAACCCGCTGGCGTGAGGCAATCTGGCGCGAGGAAATAACTCCTTAGCGCGGCCTTTGGGGTGCGCAGAGCTGGTCCCGGGCATTATACAGATCTGCAAACCCTCCCTCTCCCGGGCCCCAAGGTTGCAGAGTCGCTCGATCAGCTGTGTCAGCTTCTAGGGATCTGGGGGGGCTGGAGTTCTGCTTTGTGTTTTCTTTTCCTCGCCCTTCCCGATGAACGGCTGGAAAGTGACCGTGACAATTAAAAAGCCGAGGACTCCACAGGCCTTCCTCCTGCTGTCCCAGGGAAATCCCCTTCCACTTCCAGTACACCCGGTGTCGGACTCACCAGAGACCGGGCCACCCCGAGCAGGGCTTTGCTTTTCCCACCAGAGCAGCGAAGAAGTGGTGGCTTTGCTGACTGGGCTGAACGTTGTCCCTCGGCCAAAGCGGAGCTCCGCGTCCCGACCGCCGCCTGGCAGCGACGTCCCGGACACGATGGACTGGAGGGAGAGGGGCTGCGTCACCGACGTGAAGAACCAGGTTTGGAGCTCTCCCTGGGCCTCTCCGTGCCTCGGTCCCGCGCTGGGTCTGAGCAGCTCCGGGGCTTTTGCAGGGTGCTTGTGGGTCGTGCTGGGCGTTCAGCGCCGTGGGAGCCCTCGAGGCCCAGGTGAAGCTGAAGACGGGGAAGTTGGTGTCCCTGAGCACCCAGAACCTCGTCGACTGCTCCATGATGTACGGGAACAAAGGCTGCAGTGGAGGGTTCATGACCAGTGCTTTCCAGTACATCATCGACAACGAAGGGATCGACTCGGATGATTCCTACCCCTACACGGCTCAGGTAGGCAGCAGAGCCGGGCAGCACGTGCAGCTGCAGAAAAACACGAGCGCGGAGGCAGCACGGCCGTTCCTCCTGCTCTCCTGCGCAGACGCCTTTCTCCTCCCTGCCCGCTCATTTCTCTCTGTCTCGTTTTCTACCAGCCTCCTGTCATCTCCTCAGCCTTTGCAGTCAAACCCAGGGAAAGGGACCTTTAGACTTTTGTTTTTTTCTCTTAGGTGAATGACTGGACTGGGAGCCAGAATTTCTACATGTTTCTTTCTGTCCTACATAAATTATGAGGCAATGTACTACACGGAAGGGAAAAATGGGACAGGAGTCCTGGGTCCTGTTCTCAGCTCTCTGTATTATCCCATCCAATGTAGTTGAAAAATGGAATATTGGTATTTCTACCATTCCAGTGGGCAGAGGTTTCTGGTGAACAAGGTTCATACAATTGTTTTTTTAAAGGTTGCCTCTAACAAACGCTGGATGACTGCTGCAAGGTCATAAGGAAAAAGCCATAAGAAAATAAAGATCCCAGTGCTGGCAGTCTCGGTGGCCAGAGAGAAGAGATGCCCTGAAATGACCTGGTGCCCTGAAAACATGGCCCATGGAAACAGGTCAAAGTAACAGCAGCTCAGTCCAAGAAAGAAAAGTGGAATACAAGTCTTCAAACGTGTGTAAGGCAGCTACAGAGACCAAACAGGCTGCTCTCTGTGTCCGAAGGGAGACCGAGAAGCCATGGGCTTAATTTACAATAGAAAAATTTTATGCCAAACATGAGGAGGAGCCTCCTGATGGGAAGGATGAGGAAGCAAGGACAGTTTCTTTAGGGAAGTGGTAGAAGTATTGTCGTCAGAGGTTTCTAGAAAAAAGGCAGAGAATTCTGTTGCGGTGGTTTGGCTGCTCTTCTTGTGGGGAAGTGAGATGGACAAGATGGTCTCCTCGGGTCCTCCCAGCCATCTTATCTGTAAGCTGGTACAGAGAAACGGTGCTCAAAGAAAAGTGAAGAATGGGGTAGCGCAGGGTAAAAAAGGGCTGATAGCAAACCCCCACCTGAGAGTCTGGAGATGTTCCCGGTGGGTTCCTCACGCTCCTCTCCTCGACTCCCCCTTGTTCCTACCAGAATGGGACGTGTCAGTACAACGCTTCCACGCGAGCCGCCACTTGCTCCAAGTACGTTGAGCTCCCGTATGCCAACGAAGAAGCCATGAAAGATGCTGTAGCCAACATCGGACCGGTCTCTGTTGCCATTGATGCCACCCAGCCCACCTTCTTCTTGTACAGGTCAGGTATGTCCTTTTACCCCGGAGATCTTCTTCACAGTCTTCTGTGTCTTTCTGCATGTAAAGCTTCTGAAATTTGTCGGAACTGGTCAAGTTGGGGCTTAATTCCTGGAGGAAGTGACTATGCTGGAGGTTGACTTTGACTCGAAGATGACGAGGTCGTGTGGGCTGATGACATGCTTCCAAACTCCTTTTTTTCCAGGTGTGTACGATGACCCCCGGTGCACCCAGGAGGTGAATCACGCAGTGCTCGTGGTCGGCTATGGCACCCTAAATGATAAGGATTATTGGCTCGTGAAAAACAGGTAAAGGCCCAGCCGCGTGCCACCGAGCTCATGCTCACTCTTGATGGGGACAGGCTTCTCCTAGGAGCCCTCCTGCTCTCAAACCGGCATCCTCACAATTTTATAACGCCCCGGCATTGTACAGATGAGAGGGAGGTCTGCTGGGTGCTTGTGCAGCGGGGGTTGTTCTAGAGTTGGAGGTCGGTGTTGGTCCTTAAACGATTCCCTAAGGATTCATGCTTGGCCACGACAAAGCACCTTTATGTCATCCTTGCAGCGCGAAGGAATTTGAAATGCATTTAAGATTTAACCTTGAGTTCCCTTTATGTTCAAGAGTGTTGTCATAACTTAATAGGGGATTAGAAATCCCATGAAGCAGTCAACGAAAACACATCAATGCTGCGATGTTGATAAAGCCGCCGCTTCCCTTACGGAAAAAAGGAATTTATTTTCTCTCTTCTCTGTTTGTTTGTTCCCCGTCCCAAAAGCTGGGGCGTGAGTTTTGGTGACAAGGGCTATATCCTCATGTCGAGAAACAACGCAAACCACTGTGGGATCGCCAGTTACGCCTCTTACCCGCTAATATAGACGGACCCTGCGCTTGAGAGAGGAGCCCCGAGGCTTCAGGCAACCACTGGCGCTACGCTCGCACGCACCGACTGACTTCAAGAATCCTTTTCTGGCTCTATGGGCAACGTCCTTCTGTTAGATCCACCTGTGCTGCAGGCTGGGAGGGAGTCCCTTGTGTGGGAGGATTTTGGAGTGTGATTTAGAGGCACCTAGTGACTTCTGTTGGAGGGAAAATTTGGGTTTTTTCAGAGTAAAATTGCAGTACCTGCAGCTATAACGGAGATCGCCTACAGTTATAACAGAGATCGTGTTTTCCTCTTTCCAGTTTAACGTTAACCGCTCCTGCGATGACACGGGTATGATTTTATCTCTGTGCAACGTTGATGAAATTGGAGGTATTCTTTGAAAAAAATAAACGATCAGTTTCGCTGTCCAAAAATCCATCTTTGGTCTCCGGAGGCAGGAGCGGGTGGCAGAGGGAATTCCGGCTGGTACTTCCCCACCTGGCACTGCTCACCACCTACGGCCCTTCCACGCAACCTCGCCGCAATTGGTGTTTTCCTCCAAAACGGCGTTTAGGAGTCGGGGATGGAGGATACGGACGGTTGCACCGCTGCCGAGAGGGTGGGGAGGGGAGGCTGCTGGTAGCCTTGGCTTCATGCTGATGTAAAATCCTCATGATGATGATGACGACACCGAGAGGTAGCTGCTGCCACGGGCGCTCCAGCTGCCACCGCAGCCCGGCAGCACGGGCACCGCGCTCCTTCCCAGCAGGGACGGCAAAACCAGCCCTGAAGAAAACAGGTTTTCCTGTCAAACCCTCCGGGCGAGACCTCGAATCCATCAACCCCTTTTCTTTAAACGTATGTATTTGCTGCAGGCTTTGAACAAAACGGGTGGTTTCAGTGGCAAAACTTCTGCTGAGAACCACTTTTAGATGCAGCTGGGTGCTGCGCTGGCCTGGGGTGCCACTGCCACCTCGGGGGAGCCGGGGGAATTGAACGAGCCTCCAGCAGCCGGGTGACATTTGAGAATGCTCACATCACCCATCACAATTATCACATATTTTTGGCCTTTGCAGCTAACCAAATCGGTTATTGTTGGTTTGGGTTTTTTTGGTTTGTTTTTTGTTTTGTTTTTTTTTTGTTGTTGTTTGGTTGTTTGGTTTTTTTAACCCTTTTGCCAAAGCGTTGCTCGCTCTTCAAACCCTATCAACGGAAAACACCTTTCCAAGCAAGGGGATCTCCGTAGGCCAGTGAGCACCTCCAGCTCCAGCTCAGCAAAAACATCAACCAGCTGGTGGGCCAAGACCCTCATGCAACGATGTAAAAAAAAAAAAAAAAAACATATTTTGACTTAACACAAACGTACAAACTGGGGGGCTCTGGGTGGGTATTGGGGGTGTGGGAAGGGTTCTCACTGGTACTGGGGGTGTACAGGTGGCACTGGGAGGGGCTTGAGTGGCTCTTGGGGGTCCTGAAGAGCTTTAGGGTGTACTTGGGTGCTCAGCGGGGTTACTGGGAGGTGCTGGGACGACCTTGGGAGCTCTGGGGTGTTCTGGAGGCTTGGGGGGTTGTGGGTCGCTGGGGGGGCATCTGGAAGCGTATTGGGGATATTTAGAGGGGGCTCTGATGTGCACTGGGAGGCTCTGGGAGGTCTTGGAGGATAGTGAGGGGCTCTGGGAGGGGTTGGGGGCTCTGATGAGGGTGCTGGAGAACGTTGGAGAGTCCTGCGTGGCTTTGTGATATATTAGGGACTCTGGGAGGGTTGCGGGGATCTGGGAATGTCCTGGGGGCACTAGAAGGGTCCTGGGGGGGTTGGGTTGGTACTGGATGGTGCTGGGCACCTCCCTCCTCAGGCTTTCTTTGCATCCCAGAGCACTCTTTTTGTCCTCTGTGCTAATTAGGATGCCTCTGTTCGGTCCCTCAACCTATGAGAACTTGACGTTTTCTGCTCAGGATCCCATCTCACCTTCCTCATTTCCTCCCCAAGCTTTCTTTTGTCTCTGTAAGGGCCTTAAGACCCTTTAAGTTCCCTCACAAATTACCCTCTGGCTTTCCTTGTGCCCCAGAGGACTCTGTGGGCCTTTTATTCTGTCTGGGACCCTTCATTTGGTCTTTGAGCTCCTCTAGAACTTTTAACTCAAGTCCAAAACAGAGGCAGGACCAACACGGACCCCCAGCTCTGGCTCCCACACAAACATGGCCAGGATTGAAAGCTTTTTGCAGCAGCCACCTTTCCTTGCCAGCCCCTAAACATTGGGGCTCTTCACTTTCTCACTCAAAAACCCCCGCCCTCACCCCAAACCTGACCCCAACCCTTTGCAAAGCCCAACAAAGGTCCCAGGGCTCTCTGGAGGGCAGCAGAGCCCCTCGCAGGCCATGACGAAGTACTGTATTTTTTAAATAAAAGTGGCCTTTGCAGACACTTCTGCAAGTCTTCGCTCTAAAACCGAAGGGCTGGAAGGTCTGTGGAGGTGGAGAGCTGGGGGGTCTGTGGTTTGCAGGAGCCCTCGAGGCTGCGTGGGAGCAGCCTGGGGTGGGAACGCTGGGGGGAAGGAAGGGTCCCCCCGCCTAGAGAGTGGGGGCTCTGGTGCCTCACTGTATATAGATAACGTATAGAACGACAGCGGGGGGGGGGGTCTCCTCATCCCGGGATGCTGTGAAATGGGGACACGTGGCCTGAAGGGACGTCTGCTGGGGACAGAAGGGCCGCCGGCGGGAGTTGGTAGTAAATCATCTCATTTAGTTGTCCCGTCTGCACCGTCCCCTTTGCAATAAAACACTCCGCTTTCTTTTTGCATCTAGATGAGGCTCCCGAGTCTCGCCGCGTGCGCCCTGTTCTGCACGGCCCGCTGTGGGGAAGGGGCCGGGCTCCTGGCCTCCAAATCGTTGTTAAACGGCTGAGCTGTGGAGAACTGGCCCCTGCAGCGCAGCGTCTACACCGCCGGCTCCGGGTGAGCCTCGTCCCATACTCCCCAGGAGCAAACCTCCCCGGGTGCAGGTGCCTCTGCAGTGCCCCTGGGCTCCATGGTGTGCTGTTCCCTGCTCCTGCTACGGCTGAGCTTTACCCCCCCCCCCCCGCCCGAAGGTCCGACCCCGCGATTTGCCTTTTCCCTCCCGTTTCATTGTCCCTGCTTTCGCTGCTTCCCGCTTTCGCCTGATGGAAGCTGTCTGTCCAGCACAGCGCAGTTCCTCGTGGTTCATCTTGTGATGTTCCCCTCCCCGGGCACACAGACGCTCTTTCTTAGCTTTCTGAGCTTTTCTGACATCCAGTTTCCCGTCTTTTTTTGGCAGCTTCTCTCGGCTTTGCCTTCCTCTTCCTGCAGTCTCCTTGTAATGCACCCTGGCTCTCCTCCCCACCTCGGTGCCTTTTTACCTTTCAAAAGTCAGTTCCTCCATCTGTTAATGGTCGGTATGGAGCTGCCATCCCACTGTGACACAGTCCCCCGGTGAATAAAACACCAAATCTGAGCCTTTCCTCCTACCCCTTTCTTTGTCGTGCTTAGCGCTGCGTTCGGCACGGAGCTGTCGGGTGACTCTTTCCCCACCGGAGGATTTTGGTGTCCTCTCTGTGATGTTCAGCATCAAGTGGCTCCAGATCCCTCGGCACGCTCTCATATTTTGAAATTTCTCCCCGGGTGTCCTGCAGCTCTGCCGCCGAGGTTCCAGCATCAGAGGAGCCGCTGGACCCGCCTCGGATGGGGCTGAGCATCCGTAACTGCAGGGGACTCGGCTCTGTCGGCAGGACTCACTTCGCCTCCTGGTTCAATTCTCCTCTTTACCCATCTCCTCGCTTTCCTTTGATGAAATGCAATTGTTTTCCTTAAGTTTCAGACCTGAGAGCGAGCGAAAGGTCCCACGCTGTGGTTCTGCGGCCTCTCGAAGCTGCTTACTTCAACTTCACCTCTGCCACCGCCACGTACCCGGCACAGGAGGGCAGACAGGCAATGGTGAGTGATTTCATCTGACTTTTTATGCAATTGTAGCCCACCTTGGACAACAGATACACCTGAATGTGCTCTTTGAGCCTATTAGGGGATGGTGCGTGTCCCTGCACTCTTACACTGCACGTGCTCTGTTGCAAGGAGGGAAGGTGGCAATACTCTCCTCCTCCTCCTCCTCCTCTTTCTCTTTTTTGGGTTGGTCCCATGAGTGCTCCTGGGCAGGGAGGAGTCCCAGCTCATTGCGAGTTTGACAGGAGGTGCTCACCTCGCTTTGCAAGTGCCTTTCAATTCATAATTGAAATTACACTGCAGTAATTACAGTTACACTGCAGCACAGTGTGTTGGGTTTGCACTACTGTCGCCTGAAAAGCTCCAGGGTGGATCGTAGTTAACTCATGTCTGTCGTCCGGAAGACAATATCCCAGAAATAGCAGCTGCCATCCCAGCCACCTCTGTGGGATTTGGGCCAGACGCTTTGCAGGTGGAAGATCTGACGGCTGTAACTCAGCTGCGCCTGATTTGTTTTGAATTCTTTCTAACAACTTCTCCTTCCAGCTGGGCTGGGTTGGCCTGACGACCCTGCCCTCCATCGGGATCCCGCTGCTGCTGCGGTAGAGCAGGAGAAAGCATGGCACCCCCAAGGCCAAGAAGAAGGGAGCAAAGCCCAGTGCCAGCCCGGGGAGCGAGCCGACATCGACCCCCGCAGAGCTGCAGGGGTGTTTGGATCAGCAACAGCCTGCAAAAGCGCTGCCGGGGCTACGCTTCGGCCCCGTCACGTCGATGGCAGTGCTGTGTTGCTTCCTCCCTGGTAAAAAAAAAAAAAGAGGAAGAAAAGCCACCAAAAAGCTGCCAGCCAAACCCTGTCGTCTGTACATTCAGAGCAGAGTCCCCTCGCTCGGTTGCAGATAAATTCCAGGTGCTGCCTTTGCCGAAAGTCCTGCGGGAAGGAGCTGCCGATACCAGACCTCCCTTTGAGAGCGGCTCCCTGGGAAGCCCCGCTGTATTTCAGTGAGCAGTTAATTGCTGTGTGTCTGGTTGGTTGGGTTTGGGTTTGGTTTTTTTTTGCTTTTTTTTTTTTTTTTTTTTTTTTTTTTTCTCCCCGATTGCTCTTTTGAGGGACTGAAGGCTCTGTAATAAAACAACCACCACCAAAGAAGCCTGCTTTTCTTTTACCAGGAGGTCCTGGAGGCACCTGGCTGCCTCCAGAAGCAGCTAAAGGCCATACAGCCAGGGAAATAAATCCATATATTACTCCATCAGTAAAATAAATGCAAGAATGAGAGCAGAGGGAGCATGTGGGGAGCAGAAATCGCTTTACTGGGTTCATTCTTCTGTTTTCCAAAGGGCTGGTACCTCACACCAGCTTTTCTGACAGCCCCGAGCACTAGTATAAGGTTTCTTTTCACCGCCGTAAATAAATCATAGCATGGCTGCCTGTTGGGCATGGATTTGTGCTTTTTTTTTTTTTTTTTTTTTCCCCCCCTCCTCTGGAGGAGGCAGTGGCACAGCGATGACTTGGCTCAGGGGACCCACACGTGGTGAGAGGTGGTTGATTTTTTGATTTTTTTTTTTTTGCCCCCGAGGTTTGAGCAGGGGCTCCGTGGCGGGGCCGGCCGTTGGTGGCACGGTGGTGGCAGCCGAGAATTTCGTGTTGGTGGATTGAAATCCCAGCCCGTGCCGGAGCAAACACTGTGCCTTTGTTACCAGAACAATGTTTCCAAGCCGGGATTCCTCACCCCCTCGCCCCAACCTTCGCTGCCACCGGTTGCACCCTTTGTTTCGCCCGGCGAGCGTCACGGCCGGGGAGACGGGTTGCTGTTTGATGCTCAAAAAAACCCTCCGGAGGGTGCGGGGGGGGGTTTTGTGCTAACTGGGCTGACTGGTGCAGATGTGCCCGGCAGCGGAGATCTCCTCGCCGGGCTGAGGTAAGGCGGCTCCGGCTGCAAAACGGGGGCTGCACCCTCGGGGTCCGCAGGCGGAAAAGGGTGAAGGGAGCCGATGCCGGCTGCCAGCAGCGCTCGGGGTTGGCTTTCCGAGGGCAGGCTGGGGGTGTTTGGACAGGAGGCTGATGTAAAGGGTTGTCTGTGTCGTATCTCTAGCGGTAGCGCTGCTCTTTGAGCCTTGAGCCGGTGGTGGGACGCGGCTGGTGCTGGTGCGGGGTGGCAGAGCTTCGGAGCCGGAGCTGTGAGCTCGCGTGCGCCAGGAGGAGAGCCCTGAGGACACCCTTCCCCGCCCCCGTCCTCCTGCACCCTGGTGAAGGGAGGCCAGTTCCGGAAAACCCTTGGAAATATTTAGAGAGTTTTGGTGTCTCGGGTCCTCGCCTTGAAAACCAGGAGCCGAAATGGCCGCTGGGCTCCCACGCAGCCCCGCAACCCGTGCGTGAGCTGGGAGAGGGGCTTGTTCCCCGCTCCCGAGACCGGGGCAGCAGTCCGACTAAAATCCCGATGGTTTCAGAAAAACAAAACAAACAAACAAACAAACTTGGGAGCTTGTTCTGCCCCGGCGGCTGCGGTTTCTCTCCCCGCGGGGCAGGGCAGGACCGAGCTGTGCCAGCTCCGGACCCGGGGCGCTCTGGGGAAGGCGTCACCTCCTGGCACCGCTCTCCCGAAAGCTGCGCAAAGGTCCCCGGTGCCACCTGTTTATTTAAAACAAACACGTTCCTCGCAGGCAAAATAATTAGCCTGAGGAATACTGAGCAGAGAGCCGGTGCCAAGGAGCAGGCTGGCTCTGGGCTGGGCGACCGGGGACACGCGTGTGGCGAGAGGGCATTTCTTTATTTGTCCTTTATTTTCTGCTGAACGGGTGCTTGGTGTGACAGCGGTGCTGGGACACCTCAAAGGCTTTTCGAAACCTTCAGGTCACTTCTGGCAGATGGGGATTAAACGCGCCGGGGGGTTTATCGCTCGCAGGTGACTCCCGTGCGGGATCGGTTTGCTCCGTCTGCGGCTGCTTCGTTTCATGGTGGCTTTTCCCAGGAAATGAAACCCCTCCTGGATCCGGACGTGCTGGGTTTGTCCGAGGTGCGTAATCCTTCCGGCACCGCCCCGGGGGTCCCGTGCGACGGGGTTAACGTGGGGCTGGTGCGGACGGGGCTCAGCCCCACGGCAGACGGTGCAGCGTGGGCCCCGTGAGGCTGCTGCGAGCCTGAGTCACCTCCACCTGCCCTGTCCCTTATCACAGTTTGTGGGTGCCCTGCTCCCCACCCCGACCAGCTCCCTGCACCCATATCGGCTGCTTAAACCCCAGCTCCGAGCCGGCAGCGAGTTGTGTCGGGTCGGAAAAGTGTGACTGTGCTGCGCCAAAGCTCCCCAGGGGGAAGGAAATCCCCACCTGTGGGAGACGGGGAAACTGAGGCACGGAGTAACGCTCCTTGCCCTACAGCTCTTTGGGCTTGTTCAGCTCCTGCTTGTTGCTCCAACCTGTGGTGGATCATCCGTAACTCCCACGGGAAGGACTCCCGGGGGGCAGGAAGGGGCAGTTCAGACCCTGAGGGGGACCGTAAGGCTGTTCTTGGACCCCAAAAACGGGACGGGCTGGGGAATAAAGAGCATTGTTCTGTGCTGAGGGCACCTGCGGCCCAGCACGGAGCTGCGGTGGGTGGGTAAGGGAGGAGAGAAGTGGGGAGCAAGGCTGAATGTGGGGTGCCCGATGGCAATGGGGGTGTCTGTCCGCTGGCGAGGGCGGCGCGGAGGATCTGCGTTGACGCAGGACAAAGGGTTAACAGGGAAAAGGATCTGATTTGCCAGGTGGTTCCTGGTTTATTTTGTGTGTGAAAGAGGCAAGGACAGAGGGGGGAGGAGGAGGGGAGCACCTGGGGAGTTGGGTGCAGGACTGGTACCCACCCGGCATCGCTGCCAGGAGCGGGGTCCCATGGGGCCCACCCACCGCATCACCGACAGGATCCCCAACAGGTACATCCCGGGTGACTGGGGGGTGACCTGAGCCACCCAGGAGCCCCCGTCCCCCCCCTTATGGGTGCTGCAGCACCCACCTCACCCGCTGCCACTGCTTTGTCCCCCTCCCGACCCACTCGCCGGCACCTTCCCTGTGCTGTGGCTGCACCCCTGGGACCGCGGGGACAGGACACCTGGGTCCCTCCCTGGTGCTGACGGGGTTTGACCCAAAAGTCGCTGCCGTGACCCCCGAGCCGGTCGCTCGTCCCTCCTGTCCTCAGTTTCCCCGTCTCGCAGGGGTGGCCGGCACGAGCATCCTCCAGCCGCCGAGAAAGCCGGTGGCCAGCGGTGAATCCTCCCCGGGGGAATCCGGCTCTGCCCGGGCAGGAATTGGGGACGACAAGCTGACACCCGTGTCCTGCCCAGAGCAGGGGTGGGTTCACCCCTCTGCAGAGGACGGAGCCCTCCCTGGCATTGGGTCGGAGTAATTTTTAGGAGGAAGACCTTGCTTCTTGCTTCTTCCCCTTGGGGCCGTGATTCCGACCTGGTGCTCGCTGCTCTGGCTGGGTCCAAAGTGCTGGCGGAGCTGCCCGAGAGCACCCAGACACCCATGGCCCGCCAGCCTGCCTGGCACCCGGGGCCTCTGGGGACATCTCTTGTCCCCGGCACCCGGGGCCTCTGGGGACATCTCTCGTCCCCAGCACTCACGCTGGCCTGGAGCAGGCGGTGAGGGGACCCTATTCATGCACTCCAGTGATGAGCGTTGGCCGTTCTCAGCGCAGAGCAGAGGGACAGGGTGGGGGCATCTCCCCAAAGCCCCCATCCCCTGGCTGGGCTGTGCCGTCGTGCCACCGTCCCCGCATCCCAGCCGGGAGCCGAAGGCCGTCGGCGAGCCCAGCCGCCGGGTAACGCGATCCCCAGCCGCCTCGCTGCTCTCCAGCTGGTGCTCACCGACATTTTGGAGGGGTTGAAATACAACCACGGGCCTCGGGGCCGGCTCGGGGCCGGGCTTTTGGTGCTGCGGGGAAGTTCGTGGCTCCCGGCCGGAGGAGCCCACCTCTCGCCGATGCAGCCGGGCACCGAGCGGGGTAACGCTGCCCCGGGGGAGCCGTGCCGGGGGGAAGCTGCTGCCGGTGTCCCAGTGCTGACTGGTGATAAATGGGGTTGGTTTGATTTCTTGGGGTGGAGGGGTGAACCCCGGGGCACTGGGGTGGACTGGAGGCGGGGGGGCCAAACCATAGCAGGGGCTGCTGAGGCTGGAGGGTTGCCCGCAGGGTCGGGATTTGATTTGGGGGATGCTGCTCCAAGATTCCGTCCCTTGTGCTGCCAGCTCCCTGCTCCGGAGGTTGGGTTTACACCCCGAGATTCCCAGGTGTTTTCTGGCACTAAACCAGGAAGCTCCTGGGCATCCGGGTTGTTTTTCTGGCCACCAATACCTGTACAAGCCCATAAATCACCAGGTCGCCTTGTGTGCTTTTGGGGAGAGCCGTGCTTATCGGTGGCGGAAGTGCCACCGAGCGATGGACGCTATCTTTGCTGTTTATATATTCTTCTGTATTTATGGCAAAGCCGCTCACTCGCTCTGCTCCGGTCCTGGGCCGATGATGGGCAGACCTGAAGGAAAGTGGGGTTTTTTATCAGCTGACTGGGCTGGGAATGTGAAAACAGGAAAATGACAGAGCTCATCCCATTTCCCTCCCTGTCCCAGGCGGGGCTGGCCGGGGCGGGGGGGGGCCCAGAGCTGCCCACGGGGCTCGGGCGCAGCAGGGTGAGTCGGAGCTGGGCAGTGCCAGGGGAGGATGTGCCAGCCTCGGGCACTGGCGGGACCACTGGTGTTTTAGGGGTGGTGGGCAGCGTGGGCTGGAGCAATGGGCTGGGTCGCAGGGAGCGGGGTGCTCCGGTGGGGTTTGCAGCCCTGGCTCCATCCCGCTAACGGCAGCGGGAGAGGGGGGTTTTTGTTTGA